CTTTAGCGTTAGTAAATACAGCCACGCGATTCTCCTATGCACTACCTTTCGCACAGCCATACGGCTCCTATGAGTCCGAACGGATTCAGGTATCGAATTTATTGGTGGACTGTCGGATGGCAAGGGAGAAAGCAGCATTTACGTTGCTAGCGACCGACGCAACACATAAGTATGTTTATTTTCATGCTTCAGCTCTTTCATGGCCTAGAATATCGCCCGAGTAGTCTTGTTGCATGTCTGGCACCTTCGGGAAATTCCCAGGAGTGCCATTACGGTATTAATCCGAAATTTATGAGTGCTTTCTGGTGTGCCTTCACGAGCTGTTTCTACATTGGTCGCTATATGACTACTGCAAGCCTTTCTGAGACGGGTGAACACACAAAGTGTACAACCTGTTGCGGCTGTAAGCGCGCAAAAATTGAACTGGTGGCTTGAGTCACTTCCTTGTGCGAAGTGAGCACAACAGTACACTTCTTTGCCTCTTGTCCTGAAGCAGCTCTGGTCTGCATTAAGGAACCGCTCGCCAATCTGGCCTTGGATTTGGTGGGGTCCTATATCAGCAGCCATCCCTAGCGGCTGAGAGATGCGGAGGACAGCTGTGCTCTAGTGTATCCGCAGCACTCATCAGAGATCAGGGTAAAACTTATGATCAGCCATGGTTCACTGTGGACTCCAAGCATAGAGGGATTATCCTGGTGGACAGGCAGGCTTTGCGAGCTGCACAGGAAGGTGACTATGGAAAGATTCCTTGAGGCAACATGACTTGGAATATTTGTGATGCCCTCATAAAGGTCTTGCCCTTTCTAATTCCCTCGAGTTCCTAAAAGATTAGAGGTGTCACAGTACCATCATCACGTGCATCCCCAAATGGTTTCAAAGCTTCTCAAATTATCCGCAGATATTGCCGCGCATGCAAGGGGCAAGTGTGGAGGCGAATCCTCCACAGGAAGCCGTAGAAGTGGTGGATTTGGGGACACTTGAGCGCTGAGAACGCACACGGTGGGAGGTTTTAGTGAGAAATTTGGGCAACACCAGCTTTCGGATTCGAGGAAGTACCAGTTACGGGATTCGTTAGCTGCGAGGGAAACATTTGGGGCTCTGTGTGATTGGAAACGCCAGTAGCCATATGGGGTATTCGTTTCGTTGCTTCGGAAATGCCCTTTTCTAGCGCACTCACTGCATACGGTAGCTACTTTCATAATTCGATGTTGTGTCGAAAACTCCCGATCACTATCGATAGGGTGCTCTCTATACTCTGATATGCGCGCGGGCGCTTTCAGGTATGCTGTGCTTATGTCCTTACATGCTTCCTCACGCCTCTATAAGTCATGGATATCAATTAAGCTGCACGTATTGGCTGTATCTGGATGCAGAAAGTGCTGTATGAGGCCTTGTTGTGGGCTTCAGTGCAGATGCAAGATGTCCAAGCTTTGGTTGACACAGAGGCGAGCCAGTCGTTTTCGCATGGCGACTGAAAACGAAGTTGGAATTGGATACCACCAATCTCTATCGTATCATTCGCTAAAAGCCGATTCTTGAAATCGCTCTAATATGCCCCCTACTGCTGACACTGTTGGGGTTTCAGCAAGTGATATACAGAATCATTACAGCTACCTAATTGCCCAGGTTCCTCACATAATTGACCACGGTGCTGCTCTGGCGCGGGAGAGCGGTATGGGAGTTTAGGAAGTCCAACCTCCAGATCCGCAAGGGTAGAGCAATCTTTTGAATAGACTACGAAAGCTTGAGCGGCAGCGGCACACGGACTGCAGCAGCTGGTGCTCGCCGAGGATCGGGACGGGCAGACCGCATAGTTGCCTTTGGCGCAGAGCACTAAATTGTGAAGAACGTGGAACGGGAGTGAACAGATCATGTAAGTAGTGTGGAGCCTCATGCGTAGCTACCCTTGATCACGGCTTAGCGCTCAAATGACCATAAAAGGCCCTACGACACTCGACTCCGCCTTGATCTAACACCAGATCTCTTGGCTAGCTAGCTCCTCTGCAATCCCTAGAGCCCCCTTCACAGGCCCAGAGTTCGAAAAACGGGTTGGTCTTGGAATAGTACTCACGGATGAGTTTGAATGTTGTCTGTAGCTTCCTCACCGCGATCATTAGCAAGAATTCACCATTAGAGTCAAGTGCCCTTGTAGGGAGATACAACAACAGATGGTCATTCGGCATGTCTTCTTTAAGCGCTTGCAATTTATAATTAAAGAAAGAATTAATGCTGCTACTGGGTTGTAAATCACTGAGAATGCTGCATAAGGACACCCTCGGGATCACGATGTTTCCCACGTTTTCACGCTCACTGGCCAGGCTATTGCACGCCTGCAAGGCACTTACCAGCACTAAGAGCAAGCCCGTTCAATTTGTCAAGATTGAAAGCTGCAGAGGAGCAACCAAATGCATGTAAAATAAGCATTTAAAGAGTGTTCGGTCATTGAAGATTGCCTTGACTTGCCCTGCCGTGTGTAAGGAAGGATGAAGCCTCCTGGTGCTAGCTTCCACATTCTCCCAATGGGCGTCACAGCTTTGCTAGCTAAAAAGTATGTCTTCGTTGGCTCATTCTTCATCTTTGCCCGTAGTTAAGCTCAAGTTCCCTACTGGGCTGAACTCGGGGAGGAAAATACATTGTAACAAATTATGGATCTACAAGAATGCCCACCATCATCAAAGTCATTCAAAATCCTGAGCGGCCCAGGCTCTTCAAACGAATTTATCGGTAGTAGCCTTTACTAGCGGCTTAGGACCCTGATAGCATGTGGGTGTGCAGGACCCCTATTTCTTTAGGTGTTAACATTTCGAGCGCACCTTCTTCGGGAAGAGTATTCCGAGGCGCGATTAACGTGCTTGCCTACTTCTGCATTCCCGACTGTAATGCTTATTACGCAGACATTTGCAAAAGGAAAACATAGACCGTCATTCTAAGGTGTGAAGCTGTTGATGAAAGCTTACCTGAATTGGATTTGTGATGTGCGTATTCTTGTGTTTACTTTTTGCTGCGTGGCTCCACTTTGGAAGAGAAGTATGCCTTTTGTGTACTTTGGACTATTCAGCCAATCGCGCCTGGTAGTTGGAGCTAGATCCTTACCTCCTAGCTCTCCCAGCTATTTGGCTAGAGAGCATGCGTGCGGAGGGCAAGGAAAGATGATGGCGCATTGAACTCACGAGGCCAGAGCATTTCGTATCCATCAGAGTTTTGGTGTGAAGTCTTCCTTTCAATTCCTTAAGAGAGGAGCTGCAGTCTACCCTGTAGATTTGGGATACGATAGATCAGTTTTATTCTTGGTGTCTGCCTATGCGCTAAGCCGCTGTGCTCGATAGTGGACAACTGAAGGAGTTGCCTTACAAGTGCTCCGAGCTGCTCCTTCTGGGTCTCGTCATCCGTTTAAGCCCAGAAACTTTTAGTATCGCGTAAAACGGTAATGAGTCAAAATTTTCAAGGAGCAAATGAGAGCTCTGTTATACTTCCTTGTCTTTTTGGCTGTGAGTCTCACAGAAAGAAACAAAAAACGAACGTTACGGCCTAGATTTGTCTAATTTCTTGAGCTCGGTGCATTGTACCATGTCCTGGTCTCTGGCTGGCTCACGACTCCCCTCTTGCACTTGCACTACATCAGATTCGTCATGGCTTTTGTCAAGCCGAGGTAGTGGCTGGTGTACAGCCACTTTGAAAAGCTTCTTTGAAGACTTCTTTGCACCGGGGGACTTCTGGCTTGATAAAAGCCCTGATAGTTCAGTGTCTCACCAAGAGGATGAGGCTGCGATACCGCTATAGGTCGCCGAGGGTGTGGTATGCTCCAAATATCTTTCCTCGTTGCACATAAACCATAAACTGAGTAGCAGAGGTAACTCCTGAAGACGAGAGTGAGGCAGCCTGCTCACGGATTCCCGGTCAAACGTTCACGATTATCCGTTGTGATGACGCTCCTCTACACACTCACCGCTGGTAGAGTGCATTTTAAAGACAACATACTGCTGTTGTTGCCCTAACTACCTCCATTGCGGATATGGAAGAGTGAGGCATGTAAGTAGCCGCCGAGATTTGAGAATTTCGGAAGGCCAACAGTTAGGCATTCCTTTGGCCTGGTGCAGAAAGCTCTAGCAAGTGTACAGCTTCCCAACAGAGAGAAAGGTATTTCTAACACCTACCAAGGCATAGCGCTGAGCCTTGAACCCAAATCTGGATATTTCATTAAAGTAACGCCTTCTTAGTTCTTTCCATTCGCTTCCCAATACAAGAACATATTCACTATGTAGTAGAAAAGGCCCAGTTTTATTCAACTTTCACTACCTGTTACACTATACTTTTCTGGCCGCTGGATTTGATACACAACAGTCGATATAGAGGGAAATGGATAGCACTCATGCTCACCTCAGACAAAGAGGTCGCTGGAGGAAGGGGAGGGGAGAAAGGAAGTGGGTTCAAAAGGGTCCCCAAAGGTGCAGCTGTGCAAGTGGCCTCCCGATTTGTGCCGAGGAGGCGTACACTGTACTAAAGGAGAGTCGCATATTTGACAGGCTACCAAGGCGCTGAAAATGCAGCTCCAACGAAGGTGGTTCTCTCTCTATGGCCTGGAGGTTTCCCAGGACAAAACTAAAGAGAAATGATAGAGGGAGCATTGCAAAGTACAGTCGCATGGCTTATCGGGCAGCCGTGAACAGTGACTCGGCAAAAAGGCATCTTAGCTCCGCTGCTAAAGGAATAAGGCGAGGTATGCCCGCAAAAGGATACATCTACGATGAGCGTTGTAGCCCCTTGATATCCATTTACAAAGTACTCTGAAAAATGCAAATCAGTCTAAGGGTAGGAAGGTACCCTTGATTCTGCTCCTCTGTCTCGCTGGTCATTATGCACGCCCTGTGCTGTATCGACAGCTCGTCTCCTAGAGGAATAGTTGCTACCGTGATGTCTGTGCGGCATCTTTAGGGTTTGGTTCCGGCTTTCACGGGTCGTTGCAAGTACACAAAAAGTGAGTTCCTGGGAAAACGGACAGAATGTATCCGCCTCTGCGAGCCATCGATCGCGCAACACATCTGCCGCCTCTCTGCTCTACGGACGCACCAGGTCGCATTCGAGGTAGGCGTAGCTCGGGGGCAATTCCTTCTTCGGTGTCTTGTGTTTTCTACGCGTCCACTTCTAAACTAAGTGTGCAAAACACAATAAAGAGCCGTTTCCTGTAGTTTCTGGGCTCCCCTCCACGTCGCCCCACATGGCTCAGGCCCCTCTGTCTGGCTTACTTAGGTCGCCACCCCTGTGGCTCTATGCTTCCTAGGAAGTTGTTTGCTTACAATTGTTTGGCCATTGTCTTCCTCTCCCGTTTGTGCCTCTTTTTGAACTCCAAACTGTAGCAGCTTTTCCTGGATGGGAAAAGTTTTTTGCTGTACACTGCACGACGTCCTAAGCCTCCCCACGCCTCGCTGCCCTTCCACTGCGTGGACAGGCACTCGTTCTTCGATTCTTTCGCTGCGTGGCGCTCCAAGTGAGGTCTGCTTTGACGTCTTCTGACTCTTTTTGCACGTCCATGGGCAAAGGCTTCCGGCTGGGGCTTTCTGCAGGCCCAGATCCCGCGGTGAAGCGGCAGCAAAAGGGAGGGGCCCCTCTTTGTTGCTGCTTCTCGTTCTTTTGTGTTTTCTACATCCAGTCTTGAGGTGTACAGCCACTCCAGCGTGTACAGTGTACAGATGCTGCCTGGAGAATCTCCTCGTACCGATATCGTGCAGACGACGATCCGCCTGCCCCTTTCTCTTTTTATATCTTCTTGCTGCCTTGTGCATGCCTTCCACGAGGCTCGTCTTTTTGCGCCGACGTCGAGCCTCCCTTGGTAGAGCCCGGGCAATTAGGCCCGGTGGTCTTGTCGGTACTGCGTTCCCTTGTCTGCCCTCTATTGGCCCTAAGTGTCTGTACAGCTGGGGAATAAGAGACACCGCTCGGCTGGAGAAGCCCCTCCAGCTGCAGCGTAGCAGAACTATTAGCTGCAGCAGACATACACATAAATCTACACATACACATAAATTTACACATAGATTTACACATACACATCAGTTTACACACAAACATTCACATACATATACACACAAATTTACACATACATATTCACATAAATTTACATACATATTCACATAGACACACGGCGCCAGCCCCTTCCTTTTTTCTTGGGCTGCGCTGACAGACTGCCCTTGCAATTGCAACAGCAGCGCGTGTCTGTCGAGGGCAGATGAAGGGAGGAGGAACGCTGCTTCACTCCAGCAGGGAGAGCCCCCCGCTGCTGCAGCAGTTGCAGGAAATGTTGCAGCGGTATATTTCCCTCCAGCAAGAGTCTACGACCGCATGCGCGCATCTCCAAGGAGAGCCGCTGGAAAGAGCCCTCTCTCCCGAAGCCACATGGTGCTCAGCGGCCTCTTCTTCGACTCCAAAGGAGTTGGATTTAGCAGGAGCTTCCAAACATGCAGCCCCCGCAGCTCCAGTCCGTACGACTGTGTCTGCCCCTAGCGTTCCTTCGAACAGCGGGGGGGTTGGCAGCACCAGCACCAGCAGCTTGAGCACTAAGTATCGCGAGGACCTTTTGCGTTTAGCCCGCCAGCTGCCACGTGTCAATCGACTCACTTTCTCTTCCCAAACCCTTATGTGGGTAGTACGCGTTCAGACACGCAGTACTCGCGTCTGTCGCTCCTTCTCCGTCCGCAAGTTGGGATTTCTTGAAGCTCGGCAACATGCTTTGGATTACTTGCGTCACTTCGATGACACTGCCCCCCTCGTCCCCGCTGCTAGCAACAACACCAACAATGCCGCGGCTGCTCCCTCTGCTGCTGCTGCTGCTGCCGTTGCTGCAGCAGCAGAGGGAGCAGCAGCAGCAACGGCAGCAGCAGCAGAGGGAGCGAGACCCCCTGAAGCGCGTCCAGAATTGAGCCCCCCTTCTCTCAAGCGAGCAGCGTCTGGATGCACGAGACTGACGCGCATCAGCAAACGCTCAGACGCTGCTTCTGCGTCGCCACTTGCCGCAGCAGGAGCAGCAGCAACGAGGGGTGGAGGAGGAGGCAACACACCTGCAGCAGAGCCCCCCCCCAGCAGCTGCCTGGTCGATAATGCAACGATGGCTGCTGCCGTTGCAGCCTGTGCCTTGCTATCCCGCCAACGCCAGCAGCAGCAGAGACAGCAGGCACGAGAAGACATGGCACGGCGAGCAAGGGCGCTTCCCCACAAAGTCGGCGTTAAATTCGATCCCACCTGCCCCCGCTGGATTGCACACTGGAAACGAGATGGCCAGCGCTTCTTCCGATCCTTCTCCGTGGAAAAAAACGGATTCGAGGAGGCCTGGCATATGGCCGTCAAGTGCAGGAGGGAGAACTGCGAAGACTACGACTACAACAACCCCACGCTTCTGCAGAACGGCAAGACGCATGCCTTTCGTGCGGCGTCCCCTGCAGCAGCTTCTCCCGCTGTTGCTACTGCCTCGGAGGCTGCAGCAGGCCGCTTCTCAGTGGACACCTCAACGCCCTCAGAATGTCTTCCTGCTGCTGCTGCTGCTGCTGCTGCTGCTGGTGCAGTGCCGATGCCAGAGGATGACGCAGGACGGGCAGCACCCTCCGCGGCTATCTGCCGCAGCTGGGGATCACCACGGGGAACAGCGAGTGACTGTGAAAAGGGAGTCAAAAACAAGCTGAGAGCCAAAGTGGAGGCTGCTGCCTCAGCAGCAGCACCAACGACAGCATCAACGTGTCGATCCATAAGCGACGATAAGGCTCCAGATGTGCGCCATGCCGCCTCTTCTTGCCTGCAGCAGCAGCAGACCCTGCAAAGCAGCGCTTCTTTACACCTTCAATCTGGCTTACACTGCCCCGCAAAGCGGAGCACCCCCGCAGAGGCGTCTTCTTCCTCTTCTTCCTCTTCTTCCTCTTCCACCTCTTCTTCTTCGGTTAAGGGATGCTACAAGATTCGTAGGCGCTCTTCAGAGCAGCAGCATCATCAGCAGCAGCAGTATCAGCAGCAGCATGGGCTCCTTGATGAGGTCACCGAATCTCTAATGCTGCAGCTGGCAGCCCCTCCAACGGCAGCAACTGGCGAGGAGGCGCTGTCTAGTGCAAAAGGTACCGCCGATGCGGCTGCGGGGAAGACGGATTCAGCAGCAGCTGCCGCTGCGATGCTGCTGGAGGCAGAGGCATCCCTATTGCGGCGAATATCGGGTGCACTGCGTAGCAGCAGCAGCACCTGCAGAAGTTGCCATGCACAGGGGAGAGAAACGGGGTCCCCTATGGAGTGTGCTGCTCGCGCGCTGAAGGAGGCTTTGCGGCAGCAGCAGCAGCAGCAGCAGCAGCAGCAGCCGCCTCTCCTGGCAGTGGCTCCTCCAGACAGCCCGCAAGACTTCTTGGGGCCTCTTCTGGAGCCTCCTGATCGCCCTTCTGGTGTATTTGCAACGCCAACAACTGCAACGTCTCTGGGTTCCCCAGCTCTCTCAGTTGCCCGTCCAGCGGGGTGTGCGAGAACATTTGCAGCGGAGGCAGTCACGGAAGATGAGGGGCAGCAGCAGTTTGCAGCTGCCGCCCCTGCTGCTGCTGCTGGTTTGGAGGAAGAGCAGGGGGAGTATGAGATAGAAGGGGGGCCCCTGCTCGCGGTAGAGGGACATAAGACCTCGGAGCGAAAGGATCCCAGTTCCCCTGTGTGGTCGTTTGGTGCGTTTTCGACTCCCCAGCCGGAGGAGAGTCTTCGGGAATCCGCTGAGGAGACAGTCCACGGGGGTGCGCCTCAGCGGGGTTGTGAGCGGAGCTCTTCCTTGGCGTTCGTTGGCAGCAATAGCAGCGCTCGGATGTTCGAGCCAGCGTCTCTGGAGAACTCCTTGGACACTGCGGAAGCAGGCAGGGGAGGCCTCTCTGCTGCACTGCCTAGTGAGGATGGGTGCCGCGTCTTGTCTAGTTCCATGGAGAAAGAGGACGCCAACAAGCGGCTCCAGCTGGTGAAGGCGGCGGTTTGCTTGTTGTTGCGAGATCTTCGGGATGTCTGCCTCCTAAGTTGGGTGCCTTATTACATCATCGAGCCGAACGAGGAATTCGCGTGCCTCTCACGGTGCTTGTCTTTGGCAGAGAAATGTGAAGACGAACAGCAGTTGCAGCCCTTCCTCTCGGTCTTTTCTCCGCTCATCGCCCAGAGGAAGCTCCCTAGCACTCTCCCAGTAAGGCAGCAAAAGGATCTGCTCGAACTGACGGTTCAGACTGCAAAGCTCGTTGCCGCCTAGCGGACCCTACCGACAGTTAGGAGATATTTAAAACGGGCTAGCGGCTGTGTCCACTTTGTATGCACAACTCTACACAGCTCATTAGGACGGCGGGAACCTCCAGATGAAGGAGAATCCGAGTTTTCGAATGCAGTCACTCTTGTACCTCTGCTCCATGCTGCGACTGCTGTTGACCTCTGCCGCGCTGGTGCACTGCTTCTGTAGTAGGGGAGGGAACCTTATTTCCCTGATCTGAGTTGGGGGCATGTTCTCCATCTCATTGTCGTCTCCCTACCTGGCCCCGTAAATTGACACACACAGCTTTCTTACTTCCGAGGCGAACTATTGTGAAAGGAGCCTTGTTTCAGTAAGTAGTTCTTCTGAATCCTGGGAGGTGTGTCTGTACAGGACCAGTGTAGGTTTTAGCTTTGCTGTTTCGTCTAAAAAGAATATATATATATATCTATAGAAATAACGCCCCAAGTAGCGTCTAGTTAGCTGCAAACGGGCCATAGATATGCTCCGCTTCGCGGGCAGCAGACGACGAAGCTGTGTCTAAACTTCGCTAGTTTCACAGTAACATTGCCAGACACCAGCGTTTACCCACCTTGGAGTGCAACACGCGTGCCCCAGAGGCTTCATACGGCTAGCCACAGAGGGGAGTTGTTGGGGGTGTTCTCGTTTAAGTGCCTGCCTACATTCGCAGCATCCCAGAGCAATGCGAGAGCTGCTAAGGCCCAGCCCCTCCCCTCCCCTCTGCCCTCTCCCTCCCCCTGCTATGCTTTGACACCGCCTTGCACGAAATTCACGTGGGCAAAAGCCACGCGTCTCGTGTGGCAAGAGGTACACTTCCTTCAGACGTCCTTGAACCAGGAGGCGTGTGCGATAGATAGGAATGGATGGGCAGGTGATATAAGGATTGTGTTTCCTTCTCTCAAGTGGCCAACGGAATCTTCAGCGATCTGCCTCTCCGCTATTTTATAGGTAGGTATTCATCAAGTCACGCCTTTGACGCTTTTTCTCTTTCTCTCTTCAGCGTCGGGAACCTCTCCTCGAAGGCGTTGCTTGCTGGGCTATAATTCGAAACCAATTGCGATTTTCATTTCTTTCCATTATTGGATCCACAGGAAGCCACAGTTGCTACAGCTACCTCCCACCCGGAAAAGGCCAGGCGAGAAGTGCGCACCTGCCGCTTCAGTAAGTCCAAAAGGGAAAAGGAGCCGTTGCGCTCTTCGTGGCGGCTGTTCATTGATACGAGGTCGAGCAATTGTGGGGTGCCCCACTGCACGTTTCCCTTAGATTTGCCGTCCTGATGCTTGGCTCCTGTTTCTATTGGTTCGCGGCTAGCTAACTGGCTAGTTCGTTGGCTAGTTTTGCCACGCATTGCTCTTCCTCATATGTGAGAGCTGGTGCTGTAGACGCCGTGAGTTCTTCATCGTCTGCGTCTTCCACACACAGCTGTGCTTGACTCCCCCGACACCCTGTTTCCTCCCCCTCTCCGTCAGCCCCTTGATCTTCACGTTTTGCCTCTCCTCCTTCACGCGAAACAGTTTTCTTCTATGGGTGGGACGTGTCCTACGGAGTCTTCATCGGATGACGCTCCATGCCCGCTGAAGCTATCGAGAAAGAGGTTTTCCCCATAATCTCCCAAGTCCTCCTCCGCAACTTCAGACCCTTCAAATGGCTGCTGCGGATCAGTCATAGGCTCAAAACCTCCTAGACTGTCATTCCACATGTGCCAGGTAACCTCTGGCATCATCATTAGGGAGTGCCAAACGAATCTTTCAGCCTCAGAAACGCAGTTGTTCCCGTGGAGTTCAACTGCTTGCGGTAAGCCTTCTGCATGCCTCACTACAGGGATTTCTTTGCGCATTACAAAGTCGGTGTCAGGGCTAATTGCCGGGAAGGCAGGGGCAAGAGGCGACTCCTGCCGCATCTGCTCAGGCTGAGACGCGCATGTAAATGCGAAGAGGGACGCGCGCTTAGCCTGCCGAACTTGTTCATCATCCGTATCGCCTCCTTCTGCCCACGCTCGAGCGACCTCCTCCGACTCAAGAGCCGTTTCCTTCCCCCGCTCTTCCTCAGTCTCATCTGTCTCTTTTGACTCCTCTTCCTCGTGCTCTATGAAGTGGTGGGTGTGCTGTCCTGCGGGAAGCTTTGCTTGCTCCGCTAAGCTGGGGTTTAACACAGCCTCCTCAACTTCTGCGTTTTGATATATGCGTGTGCCTCTCATCTCAGAGCTTGTTAATGCATGGGATCCGCATAGGGACTGTTCAGGAACGACCACGCGCATCTTTTTGACAGGTTTCCGTCGGTTACCTTCTGGCGGGACTGCAAGTTTCAGCATGCCTTTTGAGTTTGCAGTGGCTGCTCCTCATGCACGCTCAATGTCGCCTCTGTGGAAGTAGGTGAGTGTGCTTCGTGGAGGAAAAGGACTCTGGAGAAGAGGGTATCGACCGCCAACGATGAAGGGGTATCAAGGGGAGCTGTAGGGCGTGCGCGTGTGCAGTAGTTCTGGTTTCGTCTGACAGAGAGAGCAGAAGAACGAAGAAGATTACGAAGGTCCACGGTTGGCTGCTCACGACGGCGCGTTCTTAGTCAAACAGTGAAGCTGCGGTGTACCCCTTCTGGACGTTCTGTCTGGAAACGAGGCTGAAAGTGGAGACTCAGAGCTCTTGAGATCCTGAATGGAGGCTCACGTGGCCCGTCGCCGTGGGTTTGTGGCTTCAATCTGGTCAGGGGGAATTTGTGTCGCGACAGTGGGGTGGTGTATCGGCGAATCTATTGTGAACTGGGGGGCGGCGGATCTTTGGAGCTTCTGCACTTCGCAGAAATAACAAAAAATATTTAAAGAGGGCACCTTTGGAGCAATTAGTGCTGGCAGAGGCTTGGCCTCGGGGTCCAACAGATGGAGTGACCTCAGACTACATGAAGGGCCCTCTCTTTTCATGTAAAACAAATTCTTGCGTCGGTTTCACTGCTTCCTTAGAACGTGCAAGGGGCAGGTCCTTTATGGAGAGGTATAGTTGATATACAGGAACCAGCTGAGTGGAGAAGCAGCGAAGGAAAGATGAAAGTCGCAGGTCCTTTTCGCTTATCGACTTCCCGAGCTCTGTGGAGCGCTAAATGCACGGCCCAGAGCGTCGTGGCATTGCAGCTCCGCTGCGAGTGTGTTTTTATTCTAGGCATAAACCAGATGAGTCAAAGAAAAAATGAGTTGTAGGCGCTCAAGAGATATCCCCCGCGAGTAGTAGAGGGTGCAGTGGACCTTCAGTTAACAGCTGAGGTGACACCCCATGACACCGGAGCCCTCCCCTCTTTCACCAATGGTCCACATATTTACCTGTGTTGTACATTAGTCCCATGATCGTATCCTTCTGTTGCAACACATATTCGTATTTAATAAAATTATTCCACCAAAAATATATCAAAAAGATATTGTGAACAGTAGTGACCCTCCGCAGTCTCCCTACACGAACGAACCTGGCAGTTCACAAGTGACCCGGTACAGACTCCTTTGACTCCGGTAAATGCTGGTCCCACTGCCACTCACATCTCTTGTTTTTCATGTGTACGCCATTAAAAATGCTATCAAAAATGCCATTTCTGTCTTTATTGCCCAGTATTTGGACATTTCAGTGCCATGAACCGAAACAGGACCTCTTACTAGGCTTCACAGCTCCTTCTGGTCGAAGAGTGCGCTGCCCCCCTACTGACGCATTGATGGCTGCAAAAGATCCAATATCTGATCAACCGCCGAAGGCTGCTGCAAAGTCTGGCATCATGGGCCGTGGAGGAACTACAATTTCTATCAGTATTGTTATTAACACGCACAAAAGCCAGCTGTGGCGATCCATCGTTTTAAGGAGGTGGGTATGGCTTGAGGTGTATCGGCTGTTGATTTAAGGATGCTTTGCTGACACTTCTTTGTCCTTCTCCCCGACGATTTAATTAACTGCAGTTGACCTCTTAGACACGAATCTGACTATGGACATGAGCTCCCTTTTCCTGGGGTGAATGATGCTTCAGTAGACTTCTCTTCTCCATTCCATCTTCCCGCATATCCAAGACAGTGTTCATACCTCCATTATCTCAATTTTGAATGGACTTTATCACGCTTGATAATATTCGATAGAGCCTGTTCGATAATACTGCGGGCAAGTATAATAGAGCTATAGCACACCACATAAAAGCAAGAAAAAGTGGTTGCAAGGGCCTTGCATCATTGTGAATTGAAACACTGGGGATGTGCAAATTATTGTATTCTTCTTGTCACGGCCGACAGCTTTCTCTGCTGCATACGCCTTTCCTCTATGGATAATTATGCGCTACTCATCATGCCGCGGTGCTGTCAATAGCAAAGCAAATCCAGGGGGCCTTGATCATGGTCTGGCACGGAACGCAGGGAATGACAGCTTCAACAGCTGCATGTGGGTCCGTTGAAACAAGTTGTGAAAGCAATTAGTTCATAAGAGTCTTCTGTTGAGCATAGTCAGAAAGCCAAGAACGAAATACTGGGTGCATCGCGATGTGCGTCGTGCACATCGCTCACCCCGCAGCTTACATAGACACGGAGAATATGAGGAGCGTATTGAAAGCTTCTCAGGAATAATCATATGGCAAACGTCACGCCGACTAAGACAAAGCAGAAAAAATCCAAAGATAAGATACACGACCCGTGTAATTCTAGAGCTTGAAGACAGGACCTCTTTTCTATGAGAAAGCTCTCATTATGTGGGTGGACGAAAAAACACTATAACATCAATATCTGGTCCTTATAATGTACTTCAAGGTATCAATCGCAACAGATCAAAGCCCCCAAGGGGCCTATCTACCCCACTTTTCCTTCCCAGTACCAAAGATCTACGGCTTCGATGGAGGCAAACGGAAACTCGTTCTTATATAAAACGAGCAAGGAACCATCATTACCTAAGCAGTGCGTTCAGTGACGCACGGTCATTTATTCGAACGTTGAATTATAATTTGGACAATGCTGGCGACGCCACAACCCCCAGAAGTAC